AAAGCTTGGAGCCGGGATGAAAGGGCAAACCTTCTTTTGGATAGTATTCAACAACTCAGACATAGCGGAAACTTTAAGGGTAGGTAGTATCCCAGAATATTGTGGTGGCCTTAGAGAATTTCTATTCATAATGCATATATTTGTTATTTCTCTTAGAAAACTGCTTCAGGAATACACAGAAACATGATTGGTAGCACTGTAGTATTAATCTTCCCTGCAAAATTCCTTATTATTACAAATTTGAATGGTTTTAAATGTTCTTTAGTATTTAAATAAGTATTTTAGGACATAACAGCAAAATTCTTATTTACTCAAAAAATATTCATACCAAAATCCCCATGTAGGAGATAGGTGGTTCTAAATTTGTGATTAAATGAGCGTAGAATTTTCTATTTTCTATCTTCTGTATAGCAAATAGAAGTATGATATATATAATATGTATGTATTTGTAGAATATTATAAAATATTTGTATAAAATATATATACTAATATTCTATGAACAGAATATTTGAGAGCTAGTGTAGAGTATACTAATTAAAATGAAACTTACATGTGAAAGTAACATGAGATTTTTTTTACCCATTTTAGCTGAAATATAAGTAATGGCCTCTTAGGTGTATGTTCTGTGGTTGCTATGGATGACCTCATATTCAGACATTCTTTGGAAAAGACCTTTGAATACAGATCGGTAAAGTACCTCTCATTGAGACCACTGGAATAAAATGCATCACATCATTTTCCAGCCATGTCTGCCTGTCAAATGAAATATATTTGTTTGTAAGGCAACAAACAAAAAGCCTCTCTCAGCATGTACAATTTTCCACTTCAGTTTGTGGAAAAGAGGACCATGTTGAAATCATTTGAGGTGTGGTATAGGTTGGTCAGTCTTGGAATTCCAGAGGGAGGGTGCCCAGTGCATTGTTACCTTTCACATGTTGTTTTTCAGGAGATGGCTGTAATCAGTCATCTCACATATGGTTTGGAAAAGGCTTGTCTCACTGGCAAGCAAACAGTTATTTAAGTACACAATCCACTCTACTACTGAAACAGTTTTGCCAAACTTATCCAAGTATTCTCACATGCTTAAAGATGGTATAAATATCATTTATTGCTAGCAGTTTTCTTCAGACTATATGGAATGTCTTCCTGCTGCCTGCTCTAAGTGTCCCAGTTTACATTATGGCCTTTACTGCCTCTGTTTGATGGAGTGATCAGTAAAAATTTAATGACACTATAAAATAATAAAAATGTCATTAATTTACCACGGACCTTGGATGCAGTGGTTGTAAAATTACATTAATAAACAGAATTTTTTTTTACAACAAAAAGCATTGTTACGTGGGAACATATAAATAACACACATAAATTTAAGAGCAATTTTACTGTTAGCACACACATTATTATGGAATAGCCAGTAAGTGTATAAAACATAGTATATAAAATTTTATTAAAATATACTGTGCACATCAAAAATTCAGCTTTTATCTAAGTGCAAAGAAAAGCCATTATTATGTGCTTACTGTTTCATTGCTGTTCTTTCCCCATATCACAATTTTACATTTGTTGCCAGTGAGAGGGAGTTGATTTTTTTTACTGGATGAAAATAAACCTCTGTTTTTTCAGTTATCCCAAATTCATTCTCTCTCTCCACCCGTGCAAAGACAGAAATGATCAATCTTGCCATGGTAGGGAGGGAAAAGTTACTAATTTAATGCAAAGTTAAAAATAATGCCTGAGGAGTTGAATGGTTTGTTCAGTGACACTGGAAATAAGGGATAATAATGCAGCAGTCTATCTGTCATCAGTGAGGCTGCCCCGTCATTGACTCTGATAATATGTGAAGATGATGAATGCTACCGTCTTGTGGCTTGTAACACTTAACATTCATCAGCTCTCACTAAAGGGGGCTTTATCATTTAAATATCTTTATTTAATATGCAACATCTACCTCATACATCATAATTTCAAAGCACTTAGAGAGCCAATAGTCCTACAACACAGCAGAGCTGACTTTAATTTTTTTCAATAACTTTTATGTTGCCTGCATGTTTGTGACTGACAGTGCATAAGTAAGTGTCTGATCACATCACTGCATGTAAAACGCACATTTCACTGTCATCATGAAGACTGGGAAGTTTTCCTGCCTGGAGGGGTTGAGATTAAAATTAGCATTGAGGTGTTTTGTTTATATCTCCAAAATATCTACTTGCGAGCTATGTAATTTGCGAGAGCTAGTTCAAGTGCATGGAAAACTTGTAGTTAAGAGCTTGCCACCCACTGTCTTATGTTTTCCTTATTGGGGCATACCCATTGGCACTTAATGGCCAGAAGTTGAGGGCCTCTTGGAACTAAAGTATCCTTGAAATTCTCTCTGTGCCTCTGTCCACATTCTGTATTTACTAGGCTCATGTTCAACCTCACTGGTAAAATCTTTGCTTAGCTCAGCTGCCCAGAGCTAACTTGTAGACATCAGACCCTCTTATCTTATGGTTATGTGGCTGGCAAATAAATATTCTGAGCTATTCTTTGAAGAAAAGAAGGAAATCTTCTGGGAGACTAGGTAGAAATTTATATGAAAGGGCATGGCTTTGCAGGGTCCTTCTTTAATCTCAAACACAAGTGCTTAATATTACCAAATATAAAATGCAGCCCACTGCCCAAAACAATTTTTATCATCGATTTATTTTCTGCCTATTTAACAAGTGTTTCATGGGATATTCTTCCTCGACTTCTAATCTGTCAAAATATTGATATTTTATAAGGAAAGTATCTCTGCAGAATAATTTTTTTTTTCAATGAAGTCAGAAAAATGTATGACTTCAAAGACACTGTGAATATGTTGTTGAATGTTCTGAATGTTTTTTGTTATGATTAAAAACAAGCTGATACTACTGAATTGTGAGTGCACTTCACTTTTTATAAAAGAAAAGATATTATCATCATGTAAGCTTTGTTGTCTTAGGATTTTACAAACCATGGCATGTAATTTTCCCTCTTCTCCTTCCTTGTCAAAATATTGATATTCTTTCAGGAACTTTATTTATTTTTTTTTACTGAGAATATTTTTCCGGTAAAATCAAAGAGAATGAATGACTAGAAAGATACTTGAAATATGCATATTGATAGGTAGCACAGTCTGTTGATTTTCAGAGAAAGTTGTTTTTCCCCCCATGAAAATACAGATAAAGGTTGTTCTTCCAAGAAGATTGCAGGTGTCACATCAAAACTCCTTCTGCATTTAACGTAGGGAAAGCATTCACATGCAAACATTTGAAATGCGAAACAATGTGATAAAACAAAGGTTGAATATTTTGCTTTCCCTGGTACTGCTTATTTTCACTTTAATTCTTTTTCTTTACATCATGACAACCAAAAGTGCTACTCAAAAATAGAAATTGGCTGATTAAAAACAGCTGTCCTCCCCCCTACAATGTGTGAAACTCTCGTCTGGCTTGTGGTTGCTCTTTGTTGTGGCCTGCATCTGGGTTAATTTGTTCTTGTGCAGCGGCAGTGTCACATAAGAAGATATTGGGGAACCATACCTAATTTGCTTTTTATTTTCACTCTGTTTTTTATAAGTGTGGTGTTTCAGAGGTTTCCCCACATACCGCTATTGTAACTAGTTAGTATTACCCAGTTGGGGAAATTCATGATCATAATTTTGTTGCAGTCTTTCATAGAAATGTTGCTAGATTAAAGCAAGGTTTATACTGTGTTTTCTTCCAACACAGATTTCAACATATTCCATGATGAAGGGGAACTGGAAGACTTCCTGCACAATTTGACTGATGGGAATTAATTATAGAAATATAATGATATTCAAAAATAATCATATTAGAAAGCACAAATGTAGTGAGACTGTACAAATGAGACACAGCCTCTATCAAGTAATTGTATGTTTGCTCTTTAAGAATATTTCCAAGTTTCTAAACATCTTACAGAAGAGAACACTCAGAGTGTTTCCGTCTAGTGCCGAACATGCCTAGTACAGAACTAGGTCATTGAACAATAGACTGAACAGCAATCAGTCCTCTACTGCTGCATAATGCATTAAGTATAACATGCAGAAACCATTCCCGGAGCTGGAAGCTGCTATTTCATGTCTGTAAATTCAAGCTGACATGACATTTAATATTGTTTCATAGTAATGAACAACAAGGTTTCATTCATTCATAAGCACAGCACAAAGCCAAGTTTGAGTCTGGAGAGTAGCAAGGAGGAGAGAAGGGGACACGTGCTGTGTTTCTGCAGACAGGAACACCATGTTAATTATGATCAATGAGCCCTCTGCTACTGATCCAGAGAGCTACAGGAGGAGAGTTCACTGTGATGTTTCAGACTCCTGATCCTAGAAGAACAGGTTAACAATTAAAGCATCTTTGTGTTTCCCTACTATAATGGCAAGAGTGTTTAACTTTCCTGACTCAAGGCCTGACTAGGAGTAATGTTCTCCTTTTCACTTACCAGGAAGTTACAGTTCAAACTCCACAGCAAAATAATAGTATCAAAGCCATCATCTAGTCTGCCTGCTTCGAAATATTTGTTTCTGAAATCTTCTTGCCTAAAATTCTGATTCGTATTTTTCCAGGAGTACCAATGCAAACTATGATCTCTAAAAAGGAAAATTCCTCCCCCATTGAATAACAGTATATTTTAATGGAAACTGCTCTTTCAAATATTGCAGTTTTGGCTCACACCTTTCATTTGCATTCCTTTTAGAATACTGGAGCAAATCCAACAGAGAGATGTGCAGTACAGCCCTGGCAGGTTACCTGCCACAGATTTCCTTTCCTTATAGGTACTATGGTTTAGGTGCTGTCAACACTGTCAGTGCCATAAACAGGCTTTAGTGGAATCTTCCTGAAAAGTTTTCTGAGCTCAAGTTGGTCAGAAATGATGTTTGTAAATCCAAGTTTTGTCCATTAAGAAAGATAGAAACTGGAAGGAAAAAGTGGCTGCTTTGGAAGCTAGTATAAGTCTCTGATTATTCTTTCCTCTAGGAAAGAACACGCTTTGAAAATTTGGGGCCCCAGTTAACAGGAAAGTCAAGTGAAGATGGAAAGCTGGGCCCAGGTGTCATCGATCTTACTCGGCCAGAAGATGCAGAGGGTGAGTGGCTTTTCTGTTCTGCTGCTCTGTGTGTTTCTAGAGGTGTGCCTGAGGCAGATGTAGGATCTTCATGGTCTTTCTTGGGAGTCACCAGATCAATTTTCTTGGCAAATCAGAAAAATGTTAGGCTTCATTATATGTTATAGTTGAGGACTTTGAAATTCAGCTAGATTGTGTGTTACTGAACACATAGCAATCCAAATACTTCAAGGTGCCATTTTAAAGTTTTAAAATAAAAGAACCCTCTACATTTCAATGAACAACAGAATTCTGTGTTTCATCCACCTTATGACATGACATTCTTATTAAAAAAAAAAAGGGACAAACATACAAAGGAGGATTTTTTACCCCCAAATCAAGTGATTCCCAGGTGCAATCAAACCGTTTTGGAAACTAAATTATAGTTTGAAGCAGATCTAGCATAAAATTAATAATTGCTTGGGCAAGGCCCAGCCTGTGTCTGGGTACTAACCGTTATACAGTCTTTTGAAAGTCAGGATGGAAAAGACTAGCTTTACTCTCAATGTGTTTACCCACAGCACCATCAATGCCTGTCCGCTCCTCTTTCTTTTCTGTTTGTTTGTTTTAAATACACAAGCAGCAAAACAGCAGAGATTGCTCCCCAGAGGCTGTTTACAATCTATGAGTTAAGTCAGCACTTTAGTAGTAGCGTTGCCTGGTTATTTACTGTGTCATCCCAGAGCAGGGACTGGTCTTCCCGTTAGCTGTTCCTGTGTCAGAATCCCTCCCACCAGTCAGGGAAGATTATTTGTTCTCTTTAGAGTAACACAATACTTCATCCATCTCAGGTCCCAACTAAAGTCCTTTAGCTTGAGGGGAAAAATCTTACTATTAGCCCTTTTACTGGCAGGATTCCTTCCAGGACCCTAATCCCTTGAAAACACATGAAGACATTTCATAGCAGCATCTGAACTGAGCATGGCTTCTAGTGATAGCTTGGGGCCATCCGAGGCAGTTCAGAAATCCCTGGGATGAGCACTAAGAGATGGGTAGTATCAGACATTAGGAAGTACTTCAGAGAGTTTTCAGAAGGCAGGTTTTTCATGCCAGTGGGAGAGACTAATGTTTAATGATAGTCCTGGGTACAAGGTGTTAAAATAAACTCTGATTGGTATGTGCATGTGTGAGAGGAGTGGGGAAGGAAGGGAAGGGAAGAGGAAAAGGAAGTGGGGGAGCAGGAAAGGAGGAATAAAGAGGACTCAAAACCAGAAATATACTCACTATCTTCCATGCAGAATGTGTACTGAGAGCACGGTGACACTGACATTTTTATAGGCACTTAGAAGTACATGATTTCCCCCCTGGTGAGGATTGAGGTTCCGTGGTCTAGGGAACTAGTTATTCAGGTGTGGCACATCTCAATTTTGTTGGAAGATGGTACTACAGAGTACCTAAATCTCTGACCAGACACAGTGAAATAATACTTTTCATCACTTTGGAGTATTCAGTCTGTTAATTTTTCTGTAGACTAGGAGTTACAGAGTTCTATTGCATTATCCTTGTTCTAACAGAGTTTTCTTAATCTGTCATTCAGCTTTCTTCACTTACTTCTTGCTTTTGTTTTTTGTTTTTTGTGTTTTTTTTGCGGTACGTGGGCCTCTCACTGTTGTGGCCTCTCCCGTTGTGGAGCACAGGCTCCAGAGGCGCAGGCTCAGCGGCCATGGCTCACGGGCCCAGCTGCTCCGCGGCATGTGGGATCTTCCCAGACCGGGGCACGAACCCGTGTCCCCTGCATCGGCAGGCGGACTCTCAACCACTGCACCACCAGGGAAGCCCTTCACTTACTTCTTAACTGTACAATAGGTATAAAGTCATTTGCCTCTCAGTAATGCTAATAATCTAGTTGATGATATCATGTGCTTGGTAAGTTAAAAATCATGGTCAGAGTTATTAACCATTATGAAAAGAAAAAGTGAAAAGCTTAACTGTAGAGAAACATACTGTATAGAAAAATCTGTGGAACTTCCATTCAGTATCCAGATTGTCTGGATTCAAACCAATTTCCTAGTTACTTTGCTTTTTTTGAGCAAACATTTATCAAGCATTTATATGCCAGAGAATACGCTAAGCTTTTAACACATTTTCTCATTTAAATCATATACAACTCTGTAAAGAAGGTATTTTTTTTTTCCATTTTACAGATGAGAAAATTAAGGGTGAGAATAGTTAAGTAACTTGCCACAGGTCACATAGCTAGTAAGGATAGAGCTGAGAGTTGATCCCAGGCAGCCTGGCTCCAGAACCCAAGCCATGAAGTACTGTGCTATCCTGCGCCCCCTGTATATATGGATGCAGAAGTGGTGCCTTCATTTTTCTGAACAAACTCCTTGTGACCTTCCTCAGTATATGGCCCATTTCCTCTCCCCTAAATATAGCAAGTCATGCCATGCACCAACTCTCATGTTACTCTGTCACACATAGCAGCAATGCCTGATGACTGTAATAGTAGAAGGGCTGTAGTGGCCCAGGAGCTTAAGAAGCGTGTGAAAACCTCCCTTCAGAAGCTTGCCCAGAGTTGCCATTGAGCCCTCGTGTGCTTTTGGGGGACTGAGTTCATGAATGGAGTCAAGTTACCTGCTCTAAAACCAACAGAAGTGCAGTGCCTTTGTGAGGACTGCTGGGATGCGCAGCAGCCTTCTGCTGACTTCAGGATATTTCCTGGCATCTGTTCAAGCGTAAGCTGATTGCAAAGCCTGCTGGAGTTGCAGTTCATATTAAAGTCAGAGTAGATAACAGGTACACATACTTTCTCCACTTTGCTCCTCCATATTTCCCTTAAGAGGAAGAGTAAGAAGGAAATGAAGTGAAAGAATACCTAAAAAATTTATTCACTCCTTCAGTCAGTCTTGGTCTAAAAACAAACAAACAAACAAACAGACAAACATTTCTTGAGTGCCTGTTCTGTGTGCCCGTCCCTGAACTAGACACTGGATAAAGCAAAGGAAGCAAAACAAATATGTTCCTGACCTCTTGGAACTTAAAGTCTAGTGAAGAAAGACAGAAGATTAAAAGGGTAATGCATACATAGATACATAAGACAGATATAATTATCACTGAGAAAAGTACTAAGAAGATCAAGACTTCATTGTTCCTCACAGAGGTTCAGGGCGAAAGCTACTTCGGTAAGCTCCATTGGCAGGTAAGTTTTGTAGCTCTCACCCAGGATGTCATCCCTTCTTAGTCCACACATGATCATCTCCATGTTTCCTCTGGCTTTGGACCAGTTAAAATCTTTTTCCAGCTTTATTGACACATAATTGACAAATAAAACTGGTGCAGATTTAAGGTGTACAATGTGACGATTTGATACACGTATATATTGGGAAATGATTACCACAGTAAGGTTAGTTAACACCTCTGCACCTCACAGGTTACCTTTTTTTGATGAGAAAATTTAAAAACTACTCTGTTAACAACTTTCAAGTATATAAGACAATATTTTTAACTATAGTCACCCTGCTGTATATTAGATCCCCAGAGCTTATTCATTCATCTTTATAACTGGAAGTTTGTACTCTTTGACCAACATCTCCCCATTTCCCCCACTGTCTAGTCCCTGGAAGCCACCATTGTATTCTCTGTTTCTATGACTTCAGGCTTTTTAGATTCCACATATGTGTGAGATCATATAGTATTTGTCTTTCTCTGTCTGACTTCACTTAGCGTAATGCCTTCAAGGTCATCCATGTTGTTGCAAATGACAGGGTTTCCTTCTTCCCTTTTATGGATGAATAATATTTTTATCACATTCAAAATATGTATATATAACTATATAACATATTATGTACTACATGTAATACATAATATCATTTATCACATGAATTTATATATATGTATATATACAACAGTCTCTTTATCCATTCATCTGCTGATGTATACTTAGGTTGTTTTCTGTGTCTTGGCTATTGTGAATAATGCATAATGGCAGCTTTAAGGGGCTATGCCCTTCTTCTCCTTGCTCCCCATTCTCCTGTGTGGCTTCTGAAGTGACTAAAGTAAGCCTGGCTTTCCAGGAAAATGTCTGCTGCCAGTTGCGAAAATGCCAATATCACTTAGTAAGCAACTTGTAGACCTGCTTCATAGCTTTGAACATGGAAGCAGCAAGGGAAAGGTCACCAAAAGAGGCAGCTGTGCGTGTGTATTAACCACTCATCAAAATCAAATGACAAAACCGTAAGCCAGGAAAACAGAAATTAAAAATATAAAAGGCAAATGTCTTCAAAATTTTATTTTTAAAGTCCAGCTGTTATTTGGCTTGAATATGACAAGACAGCATTTCTTGTTCACCACGATATTTATAAAACTACAAATTCATCGGTGCTGGGGGCTTAGGAAACATGTTTAAGGTCTTGTTATACTTTGGAGCATTTGTTGGCTTTATATGTATTAAGCGCACAAAAGTTGTTAGCTCCTGTGTAGGGCATGTAAGGAAGAGAGGACTCAATTAATTGAGTCTGTCACCACGTATTAAGAATGACGAACAGATGTTTAACTTTTTATGGACTTTTCATACGGTGTTTCCCCTCTCCTTGTTCTCCTTGGGCAAGAGTGCAATTCTTATCTCAACCCTCCTAATTTCAGGGTTGCAAGGTATAGTAGAAAGGGCTCTGGTCTGGTTATTGGGAAATTTGGATTAAAGTTCCTTTGCTAAATGAAGGCAAATAAGTGACGAATGCCCCTGGGCTTAACTTTATCTTTTAAAAGAGGTATGTTGGATTCCATTATTTCTAGGGTCCCCTCCAAATGCAAGATTGTTATTAGGGTCTTCATGAAACATAGAGTGTGTTTATTACAAGAAAGGTGATCTGTCCACAGTAGCTTTCACTTGGTTTTTTCTTCAGAGAAATAAAAGAGGAGACCAATATCTTTGAGAGTATATTTGTACCACTTGCTGAATCGAATGTTCAAGTCTTTGATCTTTTCTTTTTATTAATGAGAATGATCTTTTCTTTTTATTAATGAGAAGATCTCTCCAGTAG